ATTAAATATCTAGAAATTTTCGAAGATATAATAAACTCTTAAAAGAATATTTATTCTTATTACGTGGGAGTCTTATATAACTTATAAAAATTTTCTTAAAAAAGAATCGCTAAAATAATATTTATTAATATAAGTTTTTCTCTATATTAATTTTAATTTTAATATTCTAATTTATATTTAAATAGACTTATTATTTATATACTAATCTTACTTATATTAAACTTATTTATAAGAAATCTTAAATTATAAAATCTAAGAAAGTTTACTATCTTTCTCTTTTATATATATTTTTTATTAGAATAAAATATATAGTTCTTAGAAACTATATAGTATAGGCGCTTAAGAATAAAAAAGAATAAATATTACTATTAGAATCGGCTAGATAATAATCTAAAAATTATAATATAATAAGATATAGATTTATATCTAATAAGGCGAGCGAAGAGATATAAGAGACTTTTAAGCTTATTAATATTAAATTAATATATAAGAATATTACTAATATATTTAAGCGATCTAAGCGCCTCTATAAGAGTATAGATCGTTTAAATCTAAAATCTTAATAAGTTAATTATATAATTCTAATTCTAGATTAAAAATAAGAATATAAGTATTTTTCGCTATTATAATTATCTTTAAATAATAATAATTATAAAGATAATTAGAATTCTCTATCGCTATAAAAATATATATTACGATTTATAATTCTTTATATAATAGATTCTTTTCTTAGCTAGATTATATTTAAAAGTCTTAAATAATAAGATATTATTTAATACGCGATTAGATATTTATATAAAAATAAGATATAAACTTTAATCTAATTAATAGACTTAATAAGAAAATAGAAGTAAACTTTTAAATAGATTAGATAAAATATAATAGATAAGCGATAAATAGCTTCTAAGTCTAGTTATTATTCTAATAAGTAGATTTATATTTTAATAGTATTATATAAAAAAAATACGCGAGCGTAATTTAGAGAAAGTCTAGAGTTTTACTTTTCGCGCGAATTATTATATATATAAATAAAGATAAAAGCTTAGATTATAAGAGTATAAATAATATCGAAGCTAAATAAGATATAAGTATTAAAAATAATTCTATTATACGCGCTAATAATTAAATAGACTTTATCTTTTAAACTACTTAAAAGCGCGATATAAAATTTAATAATAAGCTCTATTATAGCTTAGATATAATAATATTAATATACTAACTAATTAATATCAAGCTATTATAAAAATCTTAAAATATTAAATATAATTACATCTAGAAGATAAAATTATAAATCTTTATTAATATATAATTAATTTAATATATAGTAATAAAAAGTTTATTATAAAAGTTACGCTATTTAAGTTAATACTTTAATCTTAGCTATTACTCTTATTATTATATAAATAACGCGAAGTTATCTTTTATTCAAGTATATCTAATTCTTAATTTTAATTATTATTATAAATATCGTTAATTTATTCTAAAATTATTAAATATACTTTTATATACTTTTTATATCTCATCCTTTTTTTAATTAGATAGCGATTAAACTCTAAATTAAAATAAATACTTAGAAGAGAAAAGTTTATAAATACTTAATTATATAATTTTATTTCTTTTACGCTTTTTATAACTACTAAAGTAATTAATAATATATAATTATATCTTATAATTATATTTATAATAATTAACTAATTTAATAGCTAAAAATAAGTATATTCTTTTCTTTACTCTAAACGACTTAACTAAGATAATCATGAGATTTAAATTCTTTTTTATAATATAACTCGCTTTTTATATATTATATAAAGATAAATATCTATTTAAATAGAAATTATTAGAGCTAATTATAAAGTGTAATAATAAAAGATTTACTCTTAAATTAACGAATTAGAAAGACTTTTATTATCTTATATAATATTTTAAAAGCGAATCTTTAAATATAATAGCGCTTTAATAGATTTTAATTAAATATAATTTAATAAACTAGGCGTTAAAAGAGGAGCTTTAAGATTATAAGATTAATTAATTTTTAATAATAATAAATCTCGCGTAAAGCTTAAGCTATAGCTCGCGTTAGTTATATATAATAAATATAATAATAACTAGAAGAATATATTATCTAGTTTCTATTAATGCTTTAATACTATTAAAGTAAAGAGTAATATCTATTAAAGCGAGAGGTAATAGTAATTAAAGTGATAATGATATCTAATAAAGACTTTACTTTAATGCTATATCTAGCACTCTAGAATAGTATTAGTTTTTTCGAAGATCTATTAATAATAGATTAAGTATATATAAGTTAAACTCTTCACGCGGTCTATCTATATATTAGCTTAAAGTTATTAAAAGATAAAGAATAAATATATAGCTTAATAACTGCGTTATACTTTTAATATTATTATAATAATATTAAATTATTTAAATAGAAGTTTAATATATAAAGAAGATAATCTAATAATAAAAAGAGTTAATATAAAAAAGAAAATTTTAAAAGAAAAGAAGAGGGGAAGAAAAGCTTAGATATCTATCGCGTATATTAAATTTTTAAATTATTTTAAATTATCTAGCTTAAATTAGATATTAATAAAATATTTTCTCTTTAATTTTAAAGATTTAAGCTTAAGCGAATTATATTTATTAAGCGCTATTATCTAATATAATCTTAGCTACTTCTATAATAATTATAATTATTATTATAATTTATATAGATTAAAAAATAAAAGATCTAAAAGAGCGAGTTAATAAGTAATTATTTTTATCTAATTTAACTAGCGCTAAACTATTATAACTTATTAAAATTTTCGTATATTTTATTCTTACTTTCTTATTTTTAAGTCTTATTATTTTTATAAAAATAATTATTCTTTAAGTCGAACTCTATAATAATATACTTAAAATAGCGCGCGATATATATTCTCTTTATTTCTAATATCGATACTTATTAGAATTAACGCACTTTTTAATAAAATAAACTTTAATTAAAATTAAGAATAGCTTAATATTTATAGATATTTATATAAACCCTTTAATTCTTTTATATATATCTATTAATTTATCTTTTTATAATAATTAAAGTAGAAGAGATTAAGTCTAATAATTTATTATAATAAATATTAAATATTAATAATAATAGCGATATTAAAGAGTTTTAATATAGATTAATTAAGCGATAATTAAACTCTTAGCTAAAACGAAAAACGAAGAATAAGCTTAATAAAAATAAAAATATTAAGAGATTACGATAGCGAATAAATATATTTATATTTAAGAAGAAACTAATTAAGAAAATAAAGAAAGTTAATATCTTAACTATTAATTACGCTATAATTATTAAAAAGTATAAAATTAAATATATTAATATATCGTTATTATAATAGAAGTAAGCTTTTAAATAAATTAGATAAGATATAATAGATAAGCGATAAGTAACTTCTAGTTCTAATTATTATTCTAGTAGACTTATATTTTAATAGTATTATATAAAAAAAGTATATAAGCGTAATTATAAAGAAGTCTAAAGTTTTATTTATCGCGCGAATTATTATATATATAAATAAAGACGAAAACTTAAATTAAGAGAAAATAAATAATATCGAAGTTAAATAAGATATAAGTATTAAGAATAATTCTATTATACGCGTTAATAATTAAGTAAATCTTATTTTTTAAGCTACTTAAGAGCGTAATATAGAATTTAATAATAAATATTATTATAGCTTAAATATAATAATATTAACGCGCTAGTTAATAAGTATCGAGCTATTATAAAAATCTTAAAATATTAAATATAATTATATTTAAAAGATAAAATTATAGATCTTTACTTATATATAATTAATTTAGTATATAATAATAAAAAGCTTACTACGAAAGCTACGCTATCTAAATTAATATTTTAATCTTAATTACTATTATCGCTATTATATAAATAATATAAAGTTATCTCTTATTCGAGTATATCTAATTCTTAATTCTAATTATTATTATAAGTATCGTTAATCTATTCTAGAATTATTAAATATACTTTTATATACTTTCTATATTTAATCTTTTTTTTATATATTATAAGAAGATAGCTTAAAGAAATATAGCTTATTATATTAAGCTATAATACTTTTAAAAGGAATATTAAGAGATATATTAATTTTCCTAAGTTGGCGATTTAATAAGAAGATTATAATTATAATATATATAATTTTATATTAAATAGCGATATCGAAAATATATAATAGATATATAAAATCATTGTCGACGGCTTTAATTATAAAGTATCGGTGGATTTCGCGCGACTAACACTAAAAGAAGATAAGCTTTTCTTATTATTAATAGATATAGCTCGCTTTCTTTTATATATATAGAGTAATAAAATATAATTATATTTAATTCTATATCTTATTAATTTAGCGTAGTCGTTAACTAGAATAATAATTAGAATATCTACTTCTAAATAAAAATTTAATAAATATTTTATATATATATTATTTTATAATAATAATATTATAGATATACTATATCGTAGAATAATCCCATTAAGATCTTATATTATATAAGTAAAGATTCTAATTAAATTCATGACTAAGTCAAATGGAGTTGGATTCTTTTTAATTTAAATTGAATTTTAGCCCTATCCCTAAGTCAAATCGGACTCTGATCGCTTACTGTGCGTACGTTTTGACCTACTACCACCACTATAAAATTATTTAATCTATATAGTATAGGTATATATATGCGGAGAGAGGCGCGCTAAGGCCTAATTAGGAAGGTATATCGAGTGTGGAGGATTGATCCGTAATAATTACCTATAAAAAATAGAGAAAGGCTATATCCTTATAGCAAGAAGTATCGAAATACCGGAAAGAAATGGAGATAACGTGTTAATTAGTGGTGTGAATCCCATAATATCTCCTGCCGCAGTGAAATCTTTCGAATAATGAGATAGCTGTAGACATCGGACGGTTTCAATTCGTCCAAATATACATCGTCCGATGTCCCTCCTACAGAGGCCCAATTGACTGTGATCGTCGCAGTAGATCCTCCTCTTGTAACGTTATTGCAGTGATGTACCATATTAATGCAGTGGGGATGACAGGCCAAGTTGCAGTGGTGTTCTCCGCTTGCTGAGTGATGATTTGACGTGGGATCTTAGAGAGCTGAGCCGTGTTCTTGGTGCTGGGGGCCTTGTTGCCGCTTGGTTTCTCCGCAGTATTCTCCGCATTCGCCTGCTGTATTGACTTCTCTTGCACTGGCTGAGTGGATTGGTGTGAGACCGTGGAGAGTAGGCCTGTTGTGTCACTGCTGCTGATGACTATCTCCGCAATGTTCTCCGCAGTGTTCTCCGCATTCGCCTGCTGTATTGACTTGTCTTGCACTGGCTGAGTGGATTGGTGTGAGACCGTGGAGAGTAGGCCTGTTGTGTTACTGCTGCTGATGACTATCTCCGCAATGTTCTCCGCAGTGTTGTCCGCATTCGCCTGCTGTAGTGACTTCTCTTGCATTGGCTGAGTGGATTGGTGTGAGACCGTGGAGAGTAGGCCTGTTGTGTTACTGCTGCTGATGACTGTCTCCGCAATGTTCTCCGCAGTGTTCTCCGTATTCGCCTGCTGTATTGACTTCTCTTGCACTGGCTGAGTGGATTGGTGTGAGACCGTGGAGAGTAGGCCTGTTGTGTTACTGCTGCTGATGACTATCTCCGCAATGTTCTCCGCAGTGTTCTCCGCATTCGCCTGCTGTAGTGACTTCTCTTGCATTGGCTGAGTGGATTGGTGTGAGACCGTGGAGAGTAGGCCTGTTGTGTCACTGCTGCTGATGACTGTCTCCGCAATATTCTCCGCATTTACCTGCTGCAGTGGTTCCTCCTCTTACTGAGTATCGGGCTGGTGTGAGACCGTGGAGAGTAGGCCTGTTGTGTCACTGCTGCTGATGACTGTCTCCGCAATGTTCTCCGCAGTGTTCTCCGCATTCGCCTGTTGTAGATCCTCCTCTTGTTCAACTGAGTGCGAGGGTAGAATTGATAGAATTGGTAGAATTGGTAGAATGGTGGAAGAAGAATGGTTACACAAATAGGTGGAAGGATTATTATCCGATCCCGGACGCGTCTGGTGTGATTATCATATTTTTAGGAGCTTCTTCTTGACGATGTTCAGGATCTAACACGCGTTAAGAGGCTTCAAAATAGGGTAGGGGAGGAAGACGCGTCTTGGGAGGTAGCATCGCTGGGTTGGAAGGTATTACCGCTGGCTTGGGAGGAGTATGTAGGGGAGGACGTATCCGTTCGGGCTCTTTTTGAGGGTCTTTTAACGCGTTTATGAGTAGTAGTAGGTAGCTGTTGGGCTCGCTTACGGCCTCGATTGCTAGTAGTAGCGGATTCGCTGAGGGGTGGTCTGGGGGCGTCAGTAGGGGCTCTAAGAGGCGGGCAAAAGGGGTGTACGTGCCTGAAACGTTGAGTAACCTTTGGGCGAGGGGTATCGAGGACGATTGTGTTTATATTGGTGGAATTGATAGAATTGGTAGAATGGTGGAAGAAGAATGGTTACACAAACAGGTGGAAGGATTATTATCCGATCCCGTCGCGGACGCATTTGGTGTGACTACGATATTTGAATGTCAGTTTAACTCATCAATAGTAGACCAAACTTCATTATTTTTATAGCGTTAGAAAGCGCACACTGAGCTTTATAATTTACGAAATTATAAAGTAATAGTATCCTTAGGGAGCTGGTTATTTCAGAGGGGAAGACTTCTGCATATAGATTTTTGTAGATTTTTGATGGTTACGGACGCTAATTTATTTACCCGCGGTGTCTAACCAAAAAGCGTAGACCTGACGAATTTATGATTGGCTGCACATACAAATTCAAGGTTTTCTAGTTCAGCCCTACCTTATTCTTTTATATATACTGATTAGATATAAAATTATGTAAATCTTAATAACTTATATTATATTAGAGTATAATATGATAGATTAATATCCTATATTATATTATATCTTTTCGACTAGTAATTATATTAATAATAGAGTTATTATAAAGAAAAGAGCGACTTAATATAAATACGCTAAGATGTATTAAATTATTTATATTATATAATCGCTAAGACGTTAAAAATTACATAATTTAAATTTTAATACTTCTCTTTATATATATTCTCTTATAAATAAAATTTAATAAATATAAATTTTAATATTAATAAAATTAAATAGATAAAATAAAATAACTTAATTAATTTTTATTAAATTATTAAAATAAGATTAATATTAAGTAAATACGCTATATTATAAGATAAGTAACTTAATAAGATTTTAAGAGAGATTAAAGTCGAGATAAGATTTCGAATCGAGATTTTAAATTTTCTCGAAACTTCAATCTTATTCTAACTCGAAAGCGAGATTTTAAGATATATCTTATTAACTCGATAGATCTTAAGTATCTTTAAACGATCTCTTTAAATTTTAATATTATATATTTAGAATAAAATTAAAATATAATATTATAATTTAAATTAGAGTATAAGATATAGATATTTAAAAAGATAATTAGAAGATATATAAGATTATTCTTTAAAAGAATAATATAGAGATATTATAAGAGTAATAATTCGAAGTTAATTTAATTAATAGACTTAGCGAGAATAATAAAATACTCTTATTATCTCGATAAAAAAATATTATCTTAATCTAACTCTATCTCGTTAAAATCTCGTCTCGAAGTAGAATACCTTAGTATTAGATATCTAAAACTATCGAAATATATTATCTAACTAAATTAGAAGATTTATCGAGATAAGAAAGATTTACTAAGACTTAACGATATATATATTTATAATACTCTCTATAATTAAATCTAATTAACTAAGTATTCTATCTATTACTTTTAATAGATTATAAATCTAAATTATAGAATATTTATTTAATATATTACTTATAAGTTAGCTAGCTTATTAATTAAATATTTAAAGAATAGAGGAAAATTTTATTATAATATTATATCGCTTAGTAATATTATCGTAATATTAAATATTTAATTAATTTATTTCGAGATAATTTAATAGTATTCTTTAAACTTTATTAATCTTTAAATTATAAATTATATTTATTATATAATAGTTATAACTCTTATAGAAATCTTATTATTATTATCTTTAATTATTATATTATAAAGTAGAGATTAAAATAAAGAGCTTAAATACTAAGTTAATTAAAAATTTTATTAAATTAATTAATTATCTTAGAGAGCTTATCTATATATAAGGCGAAAAGTAGACGATTTATATAAGGAAGGTTAGTCGAGTATATCTATCCGAAATCTATTCTAAATCTATTAGGCTTCTTAAGTCGCTTTCGAAGTTTATTAATATCGTATTTTATATAATAATATCTTTAATTAAATAGTATATTAATACGATATTAAATGGAATATATTATTAAGATATAATTTTAAAAGATATATTATTAAATATTATTATATTATTTTTATATATATCTCTATTAATATATAATATAGAATAGAGAATATATAATAAGTTAATTAAGGCTAAGCGAGTAATAGTTTATAATAATAAATTTTATTTTCGAATTTAGAGTAATTAATTAAAAGAAAAAATAAGAATTATAGCTAGCTTTATATATCTTTTTTAATCTAAATTATAAAATAATAATAAGATTTAAGAAATTATATAGATAGATTATAAAGACGAAGATAAAAGTAAATACTATATATACTCTATTTATCTATCTTATTTTATATTATAATTAATTATTAAAAATCTATCGATATTATATTACTCTTTTATCTAGTTATTATAATATATTAATATACTATTAAATTAATATTCTAATTAAAATTAATATTAGAGGATTATAAGAGTAAGTCTTTTATTTAAAGTTATAATATTTATTTTATAAAGATAAAGTAGATAAAGATATAAATAATACTTTTAGATTATTATTTTAAGAGTTATCTCTAATATAGAGAAGTATTTAATTATATAAATATATCGCCTATAAAAGAGATGTTTCTTATAGAATAGCTTATCTTATTATATTAGATATCTATTTAAAATAGATTAATTATAAGAAATAGAGTATATACTAAAATTAAAATATATAATAATATATACTCCTCTAATATCTATACTATATCTTTTTATATAGAAAAAAAAATCTAATATTTATAAAAATATATAGAGAATATTAAAGTTTAAAGATAAGATTTAAATAAATATAATAGATAAGATTAATAAATAAGATTAATAGATATTAGATATAATTTTATAATAACGATAGCGAGATAGAATATATTACTATTATAAAGAATATTCTCGCTATTTAAATATATTATATCGACTAATATAATATTAAATAAATACTCTTTATAATTTTATAATAATTAAAATATATTCGATAGTTTTACTCTAAGAATATCTAATAATTATATATTTTACTATATTAATTAGTTCGTAATAAATATAATTTTATAATATAATATTAGATAATAGAAGAGAATTAGTTAATTTATAAGAATACTCTTTAAAAGTAGCTCTTTCTTCGAATTAATATCTTAATTCTATATATATTATAAGCTTACTTTACTAAATAAATATTATAAATTTTAACTCGTTTAAAAGATATTTAAATATATATTTTAAGAAATATCTATCTTATAAAATAAATATTATATATTATAAATATCGTAATATTATATCTCCGCTAAAAATCTAATACTCTTTTAATTTAATAAAATAATAAAATATAATAGAGTATAATACTTTTATAAAATTATAATAAGAAAGTAAATAGAGTTATATAGAAGATAAAGAAAATAAAGATTATATATTTTTTAGATTAAGATAGAGCTTATAGTATAAGTAGATATATTTATTTCGAAGACGAAATCCTTAAAAATAGATAATTAATATCTTTATTCGATTTAATAGAGCTAGTAAATCTATATCTAGAATAATATTTCTTTAATTTAATATATATAAAGTTTTTAATATTAATATAATATTTCTTAGACTTCGCTATAACGAGGACTTACGCTAAAAGAGAGTTTTAACTATATTTAAAGTTATATAAGATTTATAAATTTATTATTTAATTTATATAAAGCTTAACTCTTATAGTAAAGTTAATTTATATATTTTAAGATATATTAGAAATAGATATATAGCGGAGAAGCGGAGAATAGAATAAAAGAATTTATTTTTAAAGTAGAAATAAAATATTAACTTTATATTAGATTTTATAATATTAATATATTTATTTATAAAGTCGAAGATCTAATTAAATATATTAAAAGAATATTTAAAAATAAAGAATTTAATAAGCGATATATATTTAGAAATACTTTTAAGAATATAATTTTTATTATTCTTAATATAATCTTAAATCTTAATTTATAAATTATTAATATAGATATTATAATAAATATAGAGCTAAAAATTATATCTATATATTATAAATAAAATAATTTTTTTAATTACTTTTATTTTAATTAATTCTATTATTACTTTTCTTTTATTCTTAGCTCTATTTTATAATATTATCTTCTTATAAAGTGTAAGGGCGTAGTTTACTAGCGATTAGCTAGCGGGCATAGACTATAAAAGACGTAGTATCGTTATAAGATTTAATAGTATATTTGATAGTAGAACTAATCTCTAAGAAATATTAAAACTTCGAGATATATAAAGTAAATCTATATTCGCTAAGTCTTTAGATATATAGAATATATTATTAAAACTAAACTCT